GATTCGAACCCGCCACCTTAGGTGTACGTGGCTGGCGCCTTAGCCGGTTGAGCTATAGGCGCCGAGCCATCAAAGTTTTTTTTAAACTTGCATTTTCTCTTGAAGCCATGGCCCCTTACTGAGTGAGGCAGATATTAAATTTGGCTTTCCAATACTTCTAGCTCCAAAGAGAAAAACATTAGGTTTGGTAGAAATTGTAGGATTAAGCTATTTCATACCTGGGTTTTATGATCTTCTTTTAAAATATAACAGAACCTGCCCTTTCTTTGGTCCCATTCCTGTTACTTTACAGGAAAGAAGAAAACACAAGCAAGAAATAAAGGTAGTCTTCAGCCTGTTTTCATTGTTTCTTTTCAGGGGATCTGTATTTCGAGAAAGCTGTGAATGGTTTCCTTGCTGATCTATTTACCAAATGGAAGGTATGTTTCTTCTTACATACCAGATCTCACTGAGTGAGTAAACATTATTCACTACAGATTTTTAAAATGCACTGTTTCTGTTAAGTTACCTTAAATTGAGCCATTTTAGCTAAAACTTGGACTCCATTAGCCAGGTGTGTTGGCAAGCACCTGTAGTCACAGCTACTTGGGTGATTGAGGTAGGGGGATCATTTGAGGTTATAATGAGCTATGATCATGCCTCAGCAACCTCCATCTTCTGGGTTTAGGCAGTTCTCTTGCCTCGGCCTCCCAAGTAGCTGGGACTATAGCTGGGACTACTGCACTCTAGCCCTGGCAATAGAGCCAGAGACCTTGTTTCCAAAAAAAAAAATTTTTTTTTTCAAAAAGAAAAGAAATAAAACCTGAACTCCAAATTTAAATTGCCCTAATCACTTCAACATAATAAAGAGCATATATGGCATATATCATGTGTACTCATTGGAGAAAGACTAAAAACTTTATTCCAACATCAGGAACAAGACAAGGATGCTTGCTTTTGCCACTGGTATTCAACATTGTACTAGTTGTTCTAGGCAGAGCAACTAAGTAAGTAAAAGAAATAAAAGGCAGGGTGGCGCCTGTGGCTCAGCTGATAGGGTGCTGGCCCCATATAGCGAGGGTGGTGGGTTCAAACCCAGCCCTGGTCAAACTGCAACAAAAAAATAGCTGGGCATTGTGGCGGGCACTGGTACTTGAGAGGCTAAGGCAAGAGAGTCGCCTAAGCCCAGAAGGTGGAGGTTGCTGTAAGCTGTATGATGCCATCGCACTCTACCAAGGGTGATAAAGTGAGACTCTGTCTCTAAAAAAAAAGAAAAAAGAAATAAAAGGCATCCAAATTGGAAAAGAAGTAAACTCTCTCTATTCATAGATGACATGATCCTCTATGTAGAATATCCTAAATAATCTATAAAAAAATTATTAGGGCTAATAAATTCAGCAAAGTTTTAGGTTACAAAATCAACACACAAAGTCAGTTGTGTTTCTATACACCAGCAGTGAATCTGAAAAGGAAACTAAAGAAAACATTTACAGTAGCATCAGAAATAATAAAATGTTTAGGAATGATTTCCCCAAGGAACTATAATATTTTCATACTAAAATCTCTAAAACGTTGTCTGGGCTCGGTGGCTCACACCTATAATCCTAGCACTCTGGGAGACTGAGGCAGGTGGATTGTTTGAGCTCACAAGTTCAAGACCAGCCTGAGAAAAAGGGAGTCCCCATCTCTACTAAAAATAGAAAAAGTGAGGCAGGACGATCACTTGAGCCCAACTTTTGGAGGTTGCTGTGAGCTATGATGCTATGGCATTTTAACCAGGGTGGCAGCTTGAGCCTCTGTCTCAAAAAAAAAAAAAAAAAATTGTGAAAGAAATAATTAATGAAAACTGGGCAGCGCATGTGGCTCAGTGGGTAGGATGCCGACCCCATATACTGAGGGTGGCGGGCTCAAACCTGGCCCCAGCCGAACTGCAACAAAAAAATAGCCAGGCATTGTGGGGGGCACCTGTAGTCCCACTTACTCAGGAGGCTGAGGCAAGAGAATCACCTAAGCCCAGGAGTTGGAGGTTACTGTGATCTGTGATGCCATGGCACTCTACCAAGGGCAATAAAGTGAGACTCTATCTCTACCAAAAAAAAAGAAAGAAAGAAATTAACAAAGACCTAAATAAATAGAAAGATTAACTTCTGTTCAGTGATGAAAAGACTTAACATTAATAAAATGGCAGTTCTGCTTTCATCTATCTAGAGTTTAATGAAGTTCCTATCAAAATCTCAATGCCCTTTTTTTTTTTTGATACAGAGTCTCATGTTGCCCTCGATAGAGCACCATGGCGTGTTCTTGGTGCTCAAACTCTTGGGCTTAAGCAATTCTCTTGCCTCAGCCTCCCAAGTAGCTGGGACTACAGGTGCCCACTGTAATGCCTGGCTGTTTTATTATTGCAGTTGTTGTTTAGCTGGCCTGGGCTGGGTTTGAACCTGCCAGCCTTGGTATATGTGGATGGCGCTGTAACCACTGTGCTATGGGTGCCAAGCCCTCAATACCCTTTTTTACAGAAATGGAAAAGTTGATCCTAAAATTCACATGGAATTGCAAGGAATCCTGAGTAGCCAAGACAATCTTATAAAAGGAGAATAAAGTTGGAGAAGAACTCTCGCTTTCTAATTCAAAACTTAGCGTAAAACTGTAATCGTCAAAACAGTGTGATACTGGCAAAAGGATAGACTTGTAGATTAATAGAATTGAATTAGAAGTCGAGAAATCAACCAATACGTCTATGATCAGTTGATTTTAGATGAGGGTATCAAATCCATTGGGGGAGAGATAGAGCTTCTTCAACAAATTGTTCTGGAACAACTGAATATCCATATGCAGAAAAATAAATTTGGACCCTTATATACAAAGATTTTTTTGGCAGGGCGGGGAACAGAGTCTCACTATGTCACCCTGGGTAGAGTGTCATACATCACAGCTCGTAGCCACCTCCAAGCCCTGGGCTCAAGCAATTCTCCTGCCTCCACCTCCTTAGAAGCTGGGATTACAGGTGCCCACCACAATGCCTGGCTATTTTTTGGTTGCAGCCTTCATTGTTGTTTGGCGGGCCTGGGTGGATTCAAACCCGCCAGCTCAGGTGTATTTGGCTGGTGCCTTAGCTGCTTGAGCCACAGGCACCAAGCCCTCACAATTGTTAAAAACTGAAAAATATTACTTCATTCAGTTACCTAACCTTGATATCACATGGAAACATTATCCTGATCAAAAAATATCTGAGGTAAAATTAAGTAGCAGAAAGAGCATAGAGTTTGGATTAGAGCAGACTAGGTTGAAAATTATGGCTCTGCTCTGATTGACTTTTTTTTTTAGACAGAGTCTCTCACTATGTCACCCTCAGTAGAATGTTGTGACATCACAGCTCACAGCAATCTCAAATTCTTGGGCTTAAGGGATTCTCTTGCCTCAGCCTCCCAAGTAGCTGGGACCACAGGTGCCCACTACAACGCCCAGCTATTTGTTGTTGTTGTTGTTGTTGTTGCAGTTGTTATTGTTGTTTAGCAGGCCCAGTACAGTCCAGGTTTGAATCCTCAGCCTCAGTGTATGGGGCCAGTGCCCTAACCACTGAACTATGGGCGCTGAGCCCTTTGATTGGCTTTTTGACCTTTGAGATTTAATCTCTCTGAACCTTTATTTCCTTATCCACAAAAGTGGTGATGATGGTAGTCCCTACTGCCTCTATCATATGAATTGGGAGGCTTACGCCAACATCAACCTATTGGGAGACATTTTTACTCTATGTTACTTATACCAAAATTAGATAAGGATTTATTTACATAGTGTTTATTTTATTTTAGGTGAATTTGTGGAGTTATGTGATACATGGCATTTATATTGTATTAGGTATTGTAAACTGGTGATGATTTAAAGTATAAGAATGTGTATAGGTGGCTCGGCACCTGTGGCTCAAGTGGCTAAGGCGTCAGCCATGTACACCCAAGGTGGTGGGTTCGAATCCAGCCCGGGCCTGCCAAACAACAATGACAGCTGCAACCAAAAAATAGCCGGGCGTTGTGGCAGGCGCCTGTGGTCCCAGCTACTTGGGAGGCGGAGGCAGGAGACT